AAACGTAACTGTATTTATCAGTACACATCCGCTTATCTATTTACAGTTAAATAAAACTTTGAACTCTATTGTCGTGTACAGACGACGTGCCCCTGCCAGCAATGTCTTTTGAACGAATATGAAAATACTAGACTATAACAGAAAAAATTTTTTTTGGGATACGATCACAATGCAACATGTGAATCACCTGATGGTAAGCAAACACCAGAGGAGTTATAAGTGCATTAACCACTTTATGTCCCTAATGGATCCAAATTGGAATTGATCTCGAATCCTTAATGGGTATGAGGATAAGTGTTTGGTGGCTGGATGTGAATTGGGCGTCCAGGTAGATTGATTGCAATGAATGGAACTCCATTCGAAGTAAAGGGATCTAATCAAAAGATTATTTCACTATTGGCAGATTAATTTTTACAGTATTTTTACAGTAGTAGGGTAGTAGAGTACAGATCGGGGCTATCTAGCTGGGGTAATATAGGGGCGAAAATAATAAAAATTCATAGATTCACGTGAAGGCAATAGAGCTCAATATCGTTTGAAAAATCTGTTATGCATAATAGAAGTAAAATGTCACATGTAATCACTATTTTAGTGTAATGTTTATATATATATAGAAAAAATAACTAAATAAAAGCATCTAAGGGACGGACAGAGATACATTTCTACGCACAAATATTTCGAGGTCATAGTTTCTACAACATGATTTTTTTATATTGAATTTTAAAACGTAATGATGTCAGACTAGAATTCAATTTTCACTACCCTTATTCCTCTCGCGGGTGATTAATAGTAGACTAAAGAAATATATATTTGAGAGACAAGGCAGCAACGGTCCTCGATAAGTCTTTATCTTTAAATTCTTTATTTATAAAACAATAGGTTTCTGGATAGGAATTTTAAATGATAATTTCTCAAAGAAATTGCTCATGGCATTTCGAGTTTACAAAAATAAAATAATTATTTTGTTTTCGGCTTACTCGCGCAATAATTTGACGAGATACTCGACAAGTTTCAAGCCATGCTAGAGGCCCATAGTCAAAGTTAAAATAAAATATTTCAAACAGCGATCCATGGGCAAAATTCAAAACTATTAGTTTTTACTAATTACTATGATGTGAATTTCATTTTTTTTTAATTTGCCCCGTAATAGGATTGTCTCCTGTGTCGTGGGTTCGTTTACAAACATACAAATTCACATACACAACACACCCAGACCTGAAACAACAATTTGTGGATCCCACAAAGTGTTGTTCCGTGCGGGAATCGAACTCGCGACACGTTGCACAGCAGCCAGTTGCCCAGCCACTGCGCCATCCTTGCAGTCTAAATTAATAAAAATTATGACAATAAACCCGCCTTCTACGCTACGATTTTCTCCTGTATCTTGGAAGCTTTTACAAACTTACACATCACAACCAGACCCAGCCCAACAGTTTATAGTTCACACACAGTGCTATTCCAGGTTGAGCTGCCAAATATACCCGTGCAGTCAAAATGGGACTTTAAATGATATATTTATAAAGGCAACAACAACATGACGTGAAATAAAAAAAATATTATTAAAAAAACAAAATACCCGACTGCACACTAAAAAAAGAGTAAAACAAGCCCCACAATACAAATTTACTGAATATAATTTATAAATGTTGATGGAAAGCATCGCAGGCGGGGACCACCTTGACCGCCACCAACGAAAATTCTGCTACAATAATGAAACAATGAAACAATGAATTTATTTTTGCAAATAGGCCTTAAAACGGCACTTTTACACGTCAAATTATATGTGAAAAACTAGATGAAGCCGGTACACAACAGAAATGACTATAAATAAGCCTCTGTTGGTCCCCGCCTGCGATGCTTTCCATCAACATTTATAAATTATATTCAGTAAATTTGTATTGTGGGGCTTGTTTTACTCTTTTTTTAGTGTGCAATGGGGTATTTTGTTTTTTTAATAATAATTTTTTTATTTATAACTTTTTAGGTGTTTTTATTTAAAAATATTATTATGTCTTTATCCCGTGGGACTTTTAGGATAAAATGTATCCTATGACACTCCCGTAATCAAGACAAATCTAACGATACCTCATACATCAAAATCCATCAAGCCGTTTAGGCTACAGGAGGTCACAAAGGAAAAGACATACATACATACTTACATACATTCGAAAAACATTACCCTCCTTCTTTGGCAGTCGGGTAAAAATCAAGTTAACGCTCGTTTAGAGCTTTTTAGAGTGAAATTCCAATTTCGTTGCGTTAAATACAAAACTTCCAAGTAGCCAATTATATCAATTTTAAAATAAAGCCCATGCATAATTTTAATAATACCAGCCATACTCAGATATTTAATAATTTCTTCAATAATTTCAAGTTTGGTAACAATTTTATTAGACAAATATTGCATAAGACACTGGATACTAGGAAACTATAAAATAACTCTGACAACGGCAGTATGTTACTTAATGCTGATTTTTCAATAGTCAGATAAATGTTATCTGAGGAATAAAATTGTTGCTGTCACTGTCTTATACAAACATTCAGACGCGACAGCATCATAATTATTCCACATGTAACTTTTATCTAACCATTGAAAAATCAGCCTTATTTTGAAGAAACAGCGGGTTAGAAGGTTAGAAAGAGAGAAAGATAGCATGTTTAATGCGATTATAGCGTAAGAAAGCGGATTTAGAGTTTTCATTTAAAAAAATAATTAATATTGAACCTTCAACTTATAAAAAGACTAGAGCTCCCTAAACCGTTAGCAGCGCCATCTAGGCAGAAGTTGTGAAACTATGACCACCTTATATTTACATGAAAACACAGAATAAACGCAAAACCTTGCAGGCACTGGTTCTAACCATAAGACTGAATAAAAGTAAAGTTTTTTGAAAATATTATAAAGAAAAAATCTCAATAAGTAAAACAGAAAATCTTTACTTGAATTTGTAATACCGCAACATGTAAAGTAAAATTAATATTAACGACTTATCACGAAACTGTTCGAGGGTGTTCGACTAGTTTCAAGCGAATTCGGATTCATAATCATGAAATTAGTTGTGACATAAAAAAAACACAGCTTATTAGGTTATTGCGTTTTTCTTGTTGGAAATTCAAATGAATAAATAAAGTCACAATTTAGGGACCTATTGTGAATTAATGGGTAAACCAGTGAGTGCAAATTCCTGCATTCGTTTCTTTATACCTTGTAAACATAAAAACACAGAATAAAAATGAATTCGCTTACTGTACTTCATGATGTTCACCATGATGATAAAAGAGTTTCATTTTCAAAAACACACTTTCTATATCCCTTAAAGGGGTAATCCGATTTTATACTGCCTGTTATAAGATTTTTAAAGTCATATGTTGGGTGACTTTTAGTTAGTGAAGGACAGATAACCTACTAATAATGGTCATCAAACAAAAGTTGGTACCCACCCCAAATCCCCAATCCCTAAATCTCTAAAACCCTAATCTCCGATATCGCTCGCCAATTGCTTATCATCAGGCGATCCGTCCGGTCTATGCCTTAACGAACTTTGTTATAGCTGAAAAATACTTCTATAGCTGAATAATATAAATTGTTATATTTCCAATTTTTCCCCTCTCCCTCCCTCCAATCCCATCAAATGCACAGTCTTTTCACATTCCATACCCAAAGAGACAGATATGTAATATCGTCTACAGTAACGTATGCAAATATTATTCTGTTCCAGTTTCTCTGTGTTCTAAATTATAGGAGGGAATTAGGTTACCCCCAAATCTAGTGCAAGGCCAAGCCGCAAGTTACTCTAACTCGTAGGACATTTTTTTTTTGAATTGTACTGAGGATATTGCGCTTAACTGTCCATTACTAACTAAATGTCACCATATTTGATATAAAATATTAAGAATTTCACTATTGTAATTTAAATTAAAATCCAAGCTCAAATTATTGACCCTATCATCGATAGTAGCATAATCAACTCGACAAGGATTTCCACTTGTTTATTTATTTCATTTTTAAAAAACCAATACAAATACTTGTATTCAAAATAGGAGACAATATATTAAAAAGAAAAACAAATGTCAAATAATATTCTAATCTTAAAAAAATAACAGTCGTGTGTCGAATATAGTTAAAATTGTCGCGATAATAAATTATGATAATTTTATTATTATTATTAATACACGAACACAAATGTTGTGAACTGATGTCGTTGCATTATCCTTAAACCGTTATAAATGGAACCAAAAGCGTCCCCTATTGTTCTTAAATAGGGTCAAAAACCATGAAAGAATTATTAAAAAAAATGACATCGTGTAACCCAAAAAACCACATTGCCAAAGTTGGTAAGGCTAGTAAAAGAAAATGTAACAAAACCAACTTTGTCAATGTGTAACCAAATGAGTTTAAAGTGTAACCAAATGAGTCTAAAGTGTGTAATAAAAAAAAACTCAGTAAAGTAACCAATCTTCCGAAAATATAACCACTCATACAAAGCAACCATTTTTACCAATAAATATTACAAAATCATTCATTATTCTAACAATTTTGTTGAAAAGTGTAACCAACTCACTTAAAATCGTAACATACTAAGGCAAACTTAAAACCAACTCTCAAAGTGAAACCAACTCATTCATAGTGCAATTTACTGACTGTAAGAGGGAATGCAATAACCGAATTCCGATGTATTGGAATCCTGTCTTTAGCAGAACCATTTTAGGGTAAAATAATATAGTCAGATAAATGTCATTTATTTAGAATGACGCGAAAATAAATAATACTTGGTAGAATGACAAAAAGGTAAATATTTAAAAAATAAAATACTGACCTCTAATATCAGGTTTTCAAGGTGCATATAAATACAAAAATTACATTACAGAATTGCATTCCCTCTAAAATCAACTCACTCAAAGTGTAACCAACTCATTCATGACTCAAACCAACTCAGTATAAAGTATAACCAACTCAGTATAAACGGTAACCAAATAAGTATAAAGTGCAACCAACTAACCTGAGGACCATCTTCATCTTCTTCCGGTTCCTTATATTTCCTAACCATATGTTCTTCTACTGGCTGGAAGAGTAACGCGGCTGCCCATACGTTCAGCATTATACCGCCGAGGATTAGGACTGCTCCTCTGAAAGGATAGAATGGAAAGATATAAAAAAAAAAGTTGTTATTAATATTAAATAATGGAGGATAAGTATCACTTGTTTATTAGTCCCGTATATATCTATACTAATATTGTAAATGCGAAAGTAACTCTGTCTGTCTGTATCATTTCGTCAAGCTTAAACTACTGAACCGATTTCTGTGGAGTTTGGTACCGACTTAGTTTGGAACTCGAGAAAGGACATAGGATAGTTTTTATACCAAAAATCTACGGAAAGTCACTATTCCACACGAACGGAGTCGCAGGCAAAAGCTAGTGAGTTTATAAACAAAGCAATTAGACGATAGACATTGATTATAACTAAAAATATTTCTAATTAATATTGATAACATCCAAGTGGAGAAATTTAATATCAGCATTGCAACCGTGCGAAGCCGAAAGTCTCACGATAGTCTATACTAATATTATAAAGAGGTAAAGTTTGTAAGTTTGTATGTAGGGTTTAATCTTTGGAACCGCTGGTCGGATTGCCAAAATTCTTTCACTGATACAATAGCACAGCTACAATATTGCTTTAGTGCTACAGGCTATAAAACATCAAGCTACGACCAAATGGAGCCAAGCAGCGGGTGAAACCGCGCGAGAGAAGCTAGTTACTACACAAAAATACAGAAAAAAAACCAACTCACTTGTATCCATATTCTTCAAGGAGGTACCTCAAAACGGGCGGTAGAATGATACTGCCGAAGGCGCTGCCAGACATGCAGATACCATTGGCCAGACCTCGTAGTCGGACGAAGTATGACGTCACAATGTACACCGTCGGGGGGAACGCTAGACCAGCGCCCGTACCTACCATTGCACCAAAACTGGAAGACAGAAAGAAAATACCACTTTATTTACGTTTTTATCGCTACGCGTCTCATAGAAAACCGGCGTGAAACAACTACAGCGTTGTGTTTCGCCGTGTGAGTGAGGTTACTCCTTTCCTCTAAAACCTTACTTTAGGGCCGGCAACGCACTCGTGACTGTTCTGGTGTTGTGGGTGTTAGTCTGCTGCGATGATTGCTTACCATCAGGTTATCCGTCTGCTCGTTTGCCGACCTATGACATGATGATCAAAAAACGTCATGAGTGAGCTACACGCACAACAATTTTTCCTGTATCGTGTCGTGGGTGCGTTTACAAACATACAATTTCACATAAACATCACACCCAGACTCGGAACAACGATATGTGATCAAGTCCTAGTCAAATTATTTATTTCAAATAGACCACATCAGGCACTTTGGAACGTCAAGCAAATAAAAATGAATATCAAAAGGTTTAACTTTATGCGTATCAGTCTGTCAGTCGGTCCTCTAGTGATGCTATTTGCTCGTTCCAAAGTGTAGGCTTCTACGGAGAAGAACGAGCAAGAAACTCCATAGTAATTATTTTTTAATCATTTTTACAATTCGTTAGATGTGGATCACACAATAACTTTAATATGACGCTATTTATTCCCCAATATAATAAATGATTAAACGAATAGGTTCTCAATTTATCATCTACATTTTCACCATTTATCGCAATACAAAGAAAAACTATTCAACCTGATTCTATTATTGAGAAATTTTGAAAAAAAAGAACAATAATGATTTGTTTAAACCCGGGAATCGACCGCGAAAACCATAGCTCTTACCAGTCTTCGAAAAAAAAAAAACATATTAGGTACAATATTTTTTAACGCAATGCAAGATCTGACTAAGCAGTAGAAAAAAAGAACGCCAAATCAGTCACTAACCAAAAAAAATTAAAATAAAACTAACAAAAATTTTAAAAAATGTTACCTGAAGTACAAGTAAGTAATAGAGAACGCACAGCTACTGAATATCATCCCGAACGCAGCGAAACTGCCCCCTATAAGGGTCACCGTCCTATACGACCATTTCACTGATAATATCGACGATAGAGGTCCTGAAAACATAAAACCAATACATTAATATCGTCACCATTATCATTATAACTATCATCATCATTATCATAACACTCATCATCATCACTATCATCATTATTATCATCACTATCATCTTCATTATAATCACTATCATCATCATTATCATAACAATTATCATCACTAAAATCATAACTGTCACCATCATAATCAGCTTATAAGTGCCCACTGCTGAACAGAAAACTTCTCACACGGAGAAGGTAACATTGAAACGGATCGGCAGAATAACAGAAATAAATAATTGAGCTTTAAAAACATTGTAAAGTAATAATATATTAATATATAGTACTAATTTATATAAATTTTTTGTCATCATCATACGTAGTCGCGTCTGAGCAAAGGCCTCTTCTCACACGGAGATGCTTTTTCCATCACATGTCAACTTGGAGAGTACATTTAACATAGAGAAAGTCATATTAGTAAGTACTGCCAGGTTTCGAACCCATGCATGAGAAGGCGGCACCTAAATGTCCGGGTCACCGTGACGTTTATATAAATTATAGTTACTTAGAACTAGCTTCCGCCCGCGGCTTCGCCTGCGTGGTATGTTGATAAAAAGCCTATGCATAAATGCAGGGTGTAACCTATCTATATACCAAATTTCAAGCAAATCGATCCAGCCGTTTTTGCGTGAAAGGGTAATTAGCATACATCCATGCATTCTTAAAAACTTTCACGTTTATAATATTAGAAGGATAGTAGGATAGTAGGATTGGTAGGATTGGTAGGATTGTGGGATAGTAAATAAATAAACTCACCCAAACTGCTGTACAAGAAATAACAAAGTGCCACGATGCCTGATGATGCAGACGCGCTTGATTGAAACACATCATTGAACTCCACCAATAGAACGCCGAAGGATTTGATTGTACCCGGAATTAAGATATTCACTAACGTTGCACCTGTAGAGAGAGTATCGTAAGTAAATATTAATTATAACTATACATACTATATACCTAAATAAACAACATTGTATTGCTGTACTTCAAATATTCGCTTTGCATATTATTACTTTGCAATTTGAAGTTAAAAGTGAAAGCGAAAGTCAAAGGGAAAGTCAAAGTCAAAATCAAAATCAAAATCAAAGTCAAAGTCAAAGTCAAAATCATTTATTTCAACTAGACCACAACATACACTTTTGAACGTCAAATTCAAGTTCAGTGAAACTTTACGCAAAAAAAAAACAAAATAAAGATACGTGCGGGTTAAATCCCGTAAAACAGTAAAGTTTACGGAAACGGATTAGCATAAAAACTTAAATTTTCAAATCAAGCAACTTCTCCCGGCCTGGGCAAGAGGGACTGTCAGACTCTTACTGACTAAAAACCCACCCCGTTCCTTCTCTTTGTCTGGGCCGAAGCTACGATATACTATACGGTGCTTTCACTCGCATCCCCGGCTAATAAACTTAGGCTACCTTATGTGGCTTTGTAGAAGAATGATACTTATAAACAATTTATTTATTTATTTATTTATTTCACACTTCTTGCACAACGTACAATGGCGGACTTAACGCCTTAGGCGTTCTCTGCCAGTCTACCTGATATGAAGTCTACTTGATATGAAAATTTAATACTTCACCAGGCTCTATAATGTGAACTGCTATAATAAAATGTTCTTGAGTTATTTTTCGCCGTATGACGAAACCCCAATCTTTCCCCCATCCCTATATCTCTAAAGGGCCAGCAATGCACTCGGAACTCCTCTGATATCACGGGACTGATTGCTAACCATCAGGTAATCCGACTAGGCCAAAAACTGCTATTTTCAAAATATTTTCATTCCAGCAATAACTGCTGCAATAATATTCTAATCGTACATCACTGATTTAAGGAACTGTCATTTTTTTATTAATTTCCCACATTATGCGACATATTCTTTTGTCATTAAGTATGTAAGTACGAGATTACCGTTTTCTAGAATTATTTCAATGAAGTGAACACTGGTTGTTGATTGGTAAGTCACAATGACGCCATCATGTTAATACATGACACCCAGACCCGGAACAACAATTTGTGGATCACACAAACAGTTGTTCCGTGCGGGAATCGAACCCGCAACACGTTGCACGGGACCCAGTTACCCAGCCACCGCACCAACCGTGCAGTCAAAACTTAGGGCCCTGATCATTTGCCTATGCCATAAAAAGTTTTCCTTCCCCAGCGTTTGAACGGAGATGTGATGGCCATGGTCTGGCAGATTACCTACGAGAACGCACCATCCCCACTTCCCGTCAGGTGGTACCATCTCCCAGTCGCGTTCCGGCGCCGGACCGATAGTGAACCGGCCCCCGCATACCGCATTCGAGTCTTCTGGTAACTTTACTGTGAACAAAGAGAAAGGTTGCATTAGTCACAAGCTTCAAACCAAAGTAAAAGGTTATTTTTTCTTACAAAACCTTGCCCCACACTAGGATTTTCTCCTGTGTCGTGGTTGCATTTTTTTAATGTAATAGGTCAGCAAACTATCAGACGGATTACCTAATGGTAAGCAATCAGCGCCGCCCATAGACACCCGCAACGGAGGAGTTTCGAGTGTGTTACCGACCTTTTAGGGATTAGGGATTTGGAGATTTAGGGATTGAGGAGAGATTGGGGGAGGGGAAGGATTGGGCCTCCGGTAACCTCACTCACACGGCGAAACACAACGCTGTGGTTGTTTCACGCCGGTTTTTTGTGAGGCCGTGGTATCACTCCGGTCGAGCCGACCCATTTGTGCCGAAGCACCCACACAAACACACATATCTAGACCCGTAACCACAAAATGTGGATCACACAAAGAGTTGTTCCGTGCAGTAATCAGGTGCCCAGCAACCGCGCCAAACAACCACAGGCGTGTGACGGAGGCTACCATCAGGTAATCCGCCTACTCTTTTGCCGAATAAAAAAATATATTATTTATGATCAAAACATCCCCAATTTGTGGATCACATAAAGAGTTGTTCCGTGCGGTAATCATCACCGCGCCAAGCAACCACAGGCGTTTTTCGCCGTGTGACTGAGGCTACCATCAGGTAATCCGCCTACTCTTTTGCCGAATAATACCATAAAAATGTATTATTTATGATCAAAACATCCCATACTAACAAAAGCTATTGAATAGAATGAAAATCTTGCACACTCATACATTTACGTCATCATAAATCTAAGAAAAAGCATTACACTGATAAAAATATCCATATTCATGTTTTGGCAAAGCAGTATGACCTAATGACCTGACTCGGTACATTTCTCATTCAGTTTTTTTGGCACTAGTTTTCCATATTATTAGTCTAGACCCAGTCTAGGGCATATGTTAATATGGCATTATACCTATCTTAAATAACATTTCTTAAGAGCCGGGAATTCATAGCGAGTGAAAGATAAAATTTGATTAAGTATTTTTTCGAGGCTAAACTCACTACTTTGTGGAGCCTACACGTCAACAGAGGCCGAGGCTTCAGACTACCACAGACGGGGCCCTATAAGGCCGATGTTGCGGGGTAAGCGCAATGAGTCACCGGGCCTCGGCCTATAGCAGGTGAAGGAACGGGGGGTTTTTAGTCAGTAAGAGACTGACACTCCCACCACCACAGGAGAAGTAATTTAATTTGGCAAAAAAGGCCCAGAAGGAGATGGCGGGACAAACTTTAAATCCCCGACAAGGATTGGCCGCAGAAAAGAGTAAAAGAAAAATGTGCAGAGAAGAGTAAAAGAAGGATAGGTAGGCCTTTGCCCTGCAGTGGGACGACAAAGACTTATAATCAATTTCACTAATATTAAAGTTCTGCAAAAGGTCTCTGCGAGTTGGTTTTGACCACTCGTACGCCTTCAAAGGTCCGGGACCCTGTAGTACCATAAGTGGAAGCGAACATACGAAAATAATAATAATTACTATCATTTTTAATTAGGAAAAGGATTATCCAATGAATTCTCTTGTTCAGGAAAAGACGAGAGGCAGTGTCAGACTATTATTACTGACTTAAACTTCCCTCTTCTTCTCCTGTCTCGAGCCGGACCGCGAATCATCATTTTAGCTTGCAACCCCAGCCAGATGTCAGGTCTCGGGGGTCCTTTCGTCGAGAGATGATTACCGGCCACCGTATGCGCGGGTCTACGGACGGCGAGTAGCGTTCGGCGCGCGCCTCAAAGAGCCAATAGACCACCACAGACGGGGCCTATAGGCCTGATGTTCAGCCGGGGTTGCGGGGTAAGCGCAATGAGTCACCGCGGCCTCGGCCTAGAGTAGGAGACGGAACGGGGGGGGTTTTTAGTCGGTAAAAGTCTGACACTCTCTCTCATGCCAAACAAAAAAATCGGTCGGTCGGATATAAGTGTGTGGTTTTTAATTTCATAAAATAAAAAGTAACACACACGTAATCCATAAAAAAAGGTAAAGGATTGGGCCTCCGGTAGCAAAACAACGCTTTGGTGTACTGCCGATGTGTGTTTTAAAGCATAGGGCGCTAAACAAGCAGATGCTTCAACTGAAGTTAAGCAATAAGTGCCGTCTATAGATACTCACAACAGTCAATTACAAGTGCGTTGCCGGCCTTACCTGTCCGCTTACTCTACTTAAACCAGGGCAACACTCCATCAAACCCATAATGATAACCAAAGCAACCCATTAGTTGGAGCAAGTTAAAAATATAAGTATTTATAGAAGCTTACACCCACCGCTTGGCTGTGTGCCAATTTTGGAACTGGAGACGTGACATACGGGCTGAAACTCGGTCGAGCACGGAATGTTGGTTTTAAGGGGTAGGGGCGTTATAAGCAGCCTCTTTATAGTATCTAAGTGGAAAGTGATGTCCATGGACTAACTCAATCAATTACCACAGGAGTTAAGTGCATAGGTCTTACGGTGGATGATGCCAAGTTATCATTGAAATAGTGTTTTCGAGTTGTCCAATCTGGGCTAGCGTTGTGAGGAGAGCTCAAGGCTTGTACTTGATGAGAGAATGGAATGCTTATAAGCCAGTAAGATTCTGACGTTACCCAGGGTAGATGAATGATTGGATTGGATGTTTTCTTCTCTCAAAGAAAGGGTAATGCTATTGGGATAAATAAATAAAATATAGCATAATGCAAATGCGTGGTAATTCGAGACACAATTATAGTAAGACAATAGGTGCGCGAACGCTGGCGTTCGCTTTGCGTTTGATAGATTAAAGATGGTATCTCAAGAATAAGGACTTCTCGCTGACCAAATCGTGTATTTTTTGCAGTTGACAAGATACACTTCCTGGTCTTTCTCCATTGAAACATAACGCCGATTTTTTCGCCTGTCATAAAGGAGGCGATAATAGTTTGCCACGATACTGGTGACGGTGCCGTCATCGCCCGTATGTTCATCAGCACGTTTTAACTCCTTCCAAACAACTTTATTATCACAACCTACAATCTGACCTCCAAACATATTTGAGTGTAACACGCGACGGTCGGTTGAAATTACACGGTAAAGTAAACTTCATTTACATGAAGAATAAAATGTATTAATAATACCGGAGAAAGGTGGGTAGAGATCTCTAATCATCAATATTAGCCTATAAGTGCCCATTGCTAGACAAAGGCATTTTTTCAACCGGAGAAGTATTGAGTATTAACCACGATGCTTGCTCGAAGTGGACAGGAGATTTCAAATTTATGACAACAAGTTTTACACCCGGTTTCTGAAAGGCCGATCAATGTTAAAATCAATTTAAGCTCTTGTCAAGTCATCTGATTGGTTGACTGAATTATCAACAACCAATCAGATGACTTGACAAGAGATTTGACACCTAGTTAGTTGATTGTAACATTGATCGGCCTTTCGGAAACCGGGCATAAGTCTACGTTTCCTCACAATGTTTTTTGAAAAGGAGGGAAACGAGCAAAGGAATCATGATTTTATATGAATAAATGTAAGAATCTTTCGCTTTTCCAATAAAATTAAGGATCATGTAAACATTTGAAATAGAAACAAAGCAATAAACACGTTTACGACCAGTTTACGAAGATGAAATAATACTTACAACCATTTTAATGATCTGGATAATGCCAAGGACGAAATCTTGAGGACAGACGTCATCACGTCAAGGCTACTTTAAGCCGTCAAATTAATAGCTTTGTAATAAAGTTGAAAATAAAGCCGTTGACAATGCTGCGCTTTCTGAAGAACCTGAACTCTGCGTTGGACAATACGCTTTCCAAAGGGGGCCGGTCCCAGTGTTGTACGACCAAAAGTTACGCCACTACGCAAGCGAAAGCGCCAAAATCAACCGAAACAGACAGGAGATGCCTTACTAAGCAAGAAGGAATTTTATTTAGAAACTAGCTTCCCTCGATGCTGCTTCGCCCGCGTTGTCTTTACTAATATTATAAAGAGGTAAAAATTTTAAGTTTGTATGTAGGGGGTAAACTTTAGAACCGCTGGTCGGATTGCGAAAATTCTTTCACTGATGGATATCTATAATGTTTCTGAGTGCTATAAAACATCACGCTACGATCAAATGGAGCCCAGCAGTGGGTGAAATCGCGTAAGAGTAGCTAGTATGTTGATAAAAAGCCTACATTGTACTCCAAGGATATCAGCTATCTGCATACAAATTTAAACCAAATCGGTCCAGCCGTTTTTGGGTGACAGAATAACAAACTTACATCCGAACATTGTCACAAACTTTCACATTTATAGAATTAGTAGGATGTTTATAGGAATGCTCCCAACGGCACTGTTCCCGAGTGTGGAAATTATGGTAGATGATGCGATACTTCTTATGTCAAAAAGCGTACCAGGCTCAGGCTTGGAGTAGGAGGACGATCGGTATGGTGAATCTTAACACTGCCTCTCTCTTCACCCAGGTCGAGAGAAGTCATCAGTTGATTTTCAAACATAAAAAAACAGTTTTGGACTTGATGATCATAACATCACTACCACCAACAAGCCATCTTGAAAATAAAAGTCAACGATACGGGCAATTATTCCAACATGGCGCGACGAAATACCGTCCCGTATATTCCAAGTTATAAAATTACCATTATTTTTAGCTACCATTTAATTAACTGAATCGCTTTCAGATTTCAATCTCTGTTTATAGTACTGAAATAACAAACTGTTCAACTGAAACTTAATGTTTACATTACTCAATTCAGTTTTTTAATGCGAAGATATTACACCTACTGTTTTATATGTCTCTGCGTCATCCAATAGTTGACTGTTAAAGAATGGCCACCGGGCATTAATTTCAATTAAGAATGCTTCATATTAAAGTAGAAGTCAATATTTTTGTAGTGGTGGCCCGAAGTTTAGGGCTCGCGCTTTTCATGCACGAGGGTTCGAAACCTGGCAAGTACCGATATGACTTTTT